AACTGGGAGCCAGGAGAACCACCTTTATCTCTGAATATAGTAAACTGCCTTCCTGGAGAGAGTGCAGCAATTTGTGTCACCATCAAGGACTTGAACGATGCAGGGGTGGTGATTCCTACCACATCGCTGTTCAAATTGCCTGACTTGGCCTGTAGAAGACAGATCTTGGAGAATGACCGCAGATTATTATAAACTTAGATAGTGATTCCAATTGTAATCGGTGCTCTGGATGTGATTTTGTTGCTAGGGCAAACCAAAACCAAGCCTCCTGTGCAGTCATTCCCTAAGGCGATCTGTCTCTTACCTGTCGGCCATTTATTACTGTTGAATCACTTCCTTCATGGGAGGGGCAGCACTCTGTTCTCACTGAAATGGACACTTTCTCTATATATTTTCTTTCTCTGCAAATGAAATTTATGCCAAACCCACCATCCATGGATTTACAGAATGGCTTATCCTCTGTCGTGGTAATCCACATAGCATCCCTTCTGCCGAAGAAAGTCTTTGTATAGAAATGAAATAAGGCAATGGAACCATGCTCATGGAATTCACCAGTCTTACCCTGTCCTCATCCTAAAGCCTCTGGACTGATACAATGGTGGAATGGCTGTTTGAAGATTCATTTATGGCACCAGCTAAGTGGCCAATGGCATACCTTGTGCAGCTGAAGCAATGCTTTCAGGATGCTGTATATACTCTCAGAATATAATATAGATGATGCTCTTTTGCCTACAGCCAGGATCAATGGGGCTGGGAATTAAGGTGGTGGAAATGGGAGTGGCTTTCATTATTATCCAATTTTTACTACATGTGCCCAGGAGTAACTAAACAAATCTTTGTAAAAATTATTAAAATTTATGAATATACTGAGTTTACTAGAATTATTTAGAAAACAGAAAACAATGTAAAAGGTTCTGTTTCATAGCTGGATTTTTTTTAAAAAACCACCACACACCCCACTTAGAATACTCATAAATCTTGGGAAAATTCCTCAAACTTCGAGCCTTTTCATCTATAAAATTGGTATCCTTGCACCTATCCTACCTATAGTATAGAACTAGAAGAATCAAATATGCAAATTAGTTTTGTAAACTGTACAGGACTAAAGAAATGCTAGCTATGGTTTTTATATCTTTTTTAAAATTTATTATTTTATTGATTGCTTTTAGAAAGATAGGAAGGGAGAGAGGAAAACATGGATTTGTTGTTCCACTTATGCATTCATTGGTTGATTCTTGTATGTGCCCTGACAGAGGATCAGACCCACAATCTTATGTATCAGGACAATGTTCTAACCAACTGAACTAGGTGGCCAGAGTCTGTTTTTATATCTTTGATCTGAGTGCTTCAACTATAATGTGGGGACATTTTTGTCACTGAATGACTATAACAAAGCATTTTTACCTCCTTATCCATTTTCTAAAGAAAAATCAGAGCCAAAACTTGCCACTTACTTCACAAACCTATTATGAGGATCAAAGACGGAATGTTACAAATTCATAAAACTCTCATCCTAAGAGACATACCACTAGCTATTACAACAGCCAAAAGAAATTTTAAAAACAAAGTGTCATGTATCATTCTGTACTCATCAACATACTAGTAGTTCTGCTCATTGAAAGCCTACTGTTGAAGAAGTCTCAGCAACTTTTAAAAAGTCAGTGGAAAAAAAAAAAAAAGTCAGTGACACATTTCGCAAACACCGAATGTGCCAGTGACTCTCCCCATAACCTTCACCTTAGAGAATTTAGAACAAGAGCGTAATAGGAACATTGACTCTGTGTGTTCTTGTGAAATGGGGTCATGTTGTTTTCGCTTTTTTTTTTCAATGTAGCTTCACACCTAACAGTCCCGAAATTTAACTGCATATCAGAATTCCCCGGGAATCTACCCCAGATCTATTGAGATAAACATAATACAAGGAGGAGTCCTGGACACAGTATTTTGAACAAATTCCAGGTCCTTCTTATGTGATTAACCAAGCCTTTCTGTCTGTGGACCACCGGGAACCTCTGGCTCATCTTGCCTAAGTGCTGCTTTTCTTTTCTCCACTTTTAGTGCTCTTTCCTTTACTCGTGGCTCTGTACTTCCCAGGGTCCCCAATCTCAGGATGAAATCTATCTGATATGTCATTAACACCCTAGTGTGATTTAGTTCAACGTGCCATTTCTTCAGAAATGCTAATGGTGGTGTCTGAGACTCCAAGATAGCTTGGGTGTGGGGGTTGTTGAGGGAGGAGAACTTTGCTTCTTGGCCCCCAAAATGACATTACTTAGGGAATAGCTTCTTTTTAGTACCTTCCCATAAAGTCAGGCCTACATATAAATTATGCATCACTATACAGAGATGAATTTCAGGAAGAGAGTGGGAGTGAAGTCAATGGAAAATCTGGGTAACACCTGGAATCTTGACTTGCAAGTCCCTACACAGCTTCCTGTTTGTTTTTTTCTTTTTTTAAGTTAGAGGAAATGTTTGAGATCTTTCTTAGGGAATAGTGGATTGTTCTCGCTGGAGTCATTTAACATGGGCTAAATCCCCACCTGTCAGGGATGTTATAAAAGGAATTTAATCACTGGATTAGAATCTCTCAATAACCTTTAAATTCTTTTCTATCCCGAAGACCTTCTGATCAATTGACATAGCACACACACACACACAAATTTTTTTTTGGGGGGGGTGGTTGATATTTCCATAAGGCTTATAGAGGATACTTTCACGATAGTAAGATTTCCATAGGAAGTCTAAATAGTTCTTGAAATTGCTCTCATGGTCTAGGCCAGTGGTTCTCAACCTGTGGGTCTCGACCCCTTTGGCGGTCGAACGACCCTTTCACAGGGGTCGCCTAAGACCATCCTGCATATCAGATATTTACATTATGATTCATAACAGTAGCAACATTACAGTTATGAAGTAGCAACGAAAATAATTTTATGGTTGGGTCACAACATGAGGAACTGTATTTAAAGGGCCAGAAGGTTGAGAACCACTGGTCTAGGCACTCCTGTTTTCTCCTGTGAATTATAGCATCAGCCCCCTTACTATCTCTGGATAACAGGTCTCTTGTCCTATAATTCCTTCTCCAAACTATTGCCAAAGTCCAATTTCTAAATGTAAATCTGCTTATATCACTTTCCTATTTCAATTGTCACCCAATTATTTTCCAAATAAAGTTCAAGTTTCTTACAATGCATGTAATAAGGCTTTTGATTGATCTGACTTCTATTAGCCTTTTCAAAATTCCCATTATGTCAGCATTCCTGCTGCAAACCATTTGCAACTTCTTGAATTTTCTAGATCCTCTTACGCCTCTGAGGTTTTCTAAAAACTCTTCCCTCTAACTATGACAGCATTCCCTCCTTCATTTTGCTAATCTTTATTTATTCCTTCGAGATCCAACTTTGGTGTCAAGTCTATTGAAATCATCTTTGATCCATAAGAGTGTGTAAGTGTCCCTCCTTTGAAGTCCAATAGTATCCTGATGTACCTCCTCATATCAGTAATTGCAATGTGTTGCAATTGATTTTTTTTTATCCGTTTCCTTTAATAACCTGTGAGAGATGTGGAAGTGGGGACTACTTGCATTTATATATTTCTCAATGTCTAGTATAAGGAATGCATTGATAAATATTTCTGAAAGTAATGACTCTCAGAATAGATGAGTCCTGACTCCATGATCTTACTAAAAGCATGAGGTCAGATTCATGGTCAGCCTTCAAGAAAATTGTTGCCAGCAGAAATTGTAATGAGTGAAAACAAACAAACAAAACTGTGGGGGAATCTCTCAAAGGGCCAGACCACACTGAAGGAGGGAGCCCTATTGAGATATAGTGCAGCATACAAATTCTGAATGGAAAGGAAACAAAGAAGGTCATAGAAACATCCACGAAGGTGTAAAAAGTGGTATGGAATGGGAATGGAGTTGGAAATACAATTACTTTCTTGAGTTTTTCTAAAAAGGGATAGTTCTTGTGATAGCTTAGTCTCCAACTATGCCATGTTCTTGAATTAAAAAACCTAGAAAGCAGGTCCCACGAATTACTGTTTATCTTTTCCCCCTTGTAATTTAGGGATTAATTTGTGATTACAGTAGTAGGCAGAATAATTAATGTGTTTAAATGAAGTACAAGTGATCATAATGGAATTATATACTTGGTGAATCATTTCCCATGCCACCCAACAAATGACATTGTATTTGCTTAAGGGACTTCAATATAAATTAGGTGCCATATGAGTACTTTTAGCAGCCACTAGTAAATGTTTGTTATAAATGGAGCCTACAAATGCAGTCAAATTAAAAATATATATGAAGATTATTAGAAAAATACAGGTTTCTATATTTACTGAAAAAATGTCTTATCCGGTGTCCAATTTACCATTAGCTTTTTCATTTTTGTTGCTTCTTGGCCAAATAAAAGTGTTATTTCTAAAACAAGCATTATATCACTAAATCCCCACACACATATATAAAATAGTCTACTGATTTAAATTCAATAATCATTTATTAAATACTGATTATGAGCAAAAAACTGTAGGTCCATATGTACATGTATGAGGTATATAGTATACATATGTATGTGATATATTTACACTTGTATATATGTATTATATAGATAGATGTAAAGATTTTATTATGACACAGAACATTATCCTATATAATAAAAGGGTAATACGCAAATAGACCAAACAGCAGAACAACTGGACAACCAATCAAAGCGTAATATGCTAATGATATGCTAAGGCTGCACAATTGCTCACTATGACATGCACTGACTACCAGGGGGCAGACAGTCGACCAATCGCTATGACATGCACTGACCACCAGGGGGCAGATGATTCAACTGGTAGGTTAGCTTGCTGCTGGGGTCTGGCGGATCAGGACTGAGTGAGATGGGCTGGACACGCCCTGGAACCCTCCTGCAGTCCCTCCCCGGCCCCATCATGCACCAGTGGGGTCCCTCGCCCTGGCCTGTGCCCTCTCGCAATCCAGGACCCCTTGGTGGATGTCGGAGAGCTGGTTTCAACCTGATTCTGCCGGCCACTCCCCTTGGGAAGGCGCCAGACGCAGGGTTCATGGTTGGCGAGTGCTGCTGCAGCAATTCGAGCCTCTCCCGATTGGGACTGATTGGGTGTGAGCCCACAGCAGGCACAGTCGGGCCGGGATGAGCAGGAGCTGCAGGTAGGAGCTGCAAGCAGCGTTGGACTGCAGGTTTTGGCCCGATCCCTGCAGGCCACTCAGAGGGACCCCACCCGTGCATGAATTCATGCACTGGGCCTCTAGTTTTAAATATAGTGGGGGAAAGCAGACTAAATAGGTGCTTCCAAGATCTTTTTACGGTGATGATTCTCATTCCTCTGATGTCCTTCAGACCAGTATGGTATTTATCTGCCCTACAACATAGAATATGCTTGAACAGACCTCTTGGAACTTAACCTTCAGCGTGGTATTTTCTAATATCACAGAATTTGTTTTTAAGAAAAATTTATTTTCCTGGGGAGGATGCTTAACTCTTTAGATACATTATCTATATATATAAAAGCCTTAGTGACCCAACAACTGGACAACCAGATAACCGGATGACTGGCCGGTAGCTATGATGCACATTGACCACCAGGGGGCAGACGCTCAACACAGGAGCTCCCCTGATGGTCAGTGTGCTCTCACAGCAGGAGCGCCGCTCAGCTGACAGACGGGCGCCAGATGCCGGGCTCATGGCTGGTGAGCGCAGCTGTGGAGACATGAGCCTTTCCTTTGGAGACACTCCGCTGTGCACCGGAGTGGCGGCAGTGGCAGGAGCAGCGGAGCCGGGATGCCCAGCCTAGGTCTGGCTCCTTCCTGGCTGCCTGCTGCTTCCTGCACTACTTTGTGTTGTGGGGGATCCACACGGACAGTGGGCTGGAGCCCAACAGGCTGGTGGGTAAGGCTGGGCTGCGGCGGCGCAGAGGTCCACTGATCCCCACAGCCCAGGCTGAGGGACCTCACTGGTGCAAGAATTTGTGCGCCGGGCCTCTTGTTAACAAATAAATATTGAGGTGGTTGTATGTCAATTATATTTCAACGAAAAAAAAAATACTGAGGTGGAATCAGAGAAAAGGGAAGAAACAGAATTAAAGTATAACAATAACCATTTCCTTTAAACAATATTTAAGAAAATAATAATAGTCACCATTTAAAATGTTCTTTCTGTATGCCAGATACCTCACAACTCTATGTGGTAGTTAACATTATCTCTGTTTTTATAACTTAGGAAATAAAGCTCAGAGAGATTACGTAATGACCAAAGTGACAAAGACAGTGACATAGCCAATTATCAGTGTCTGACTCTGAAGTCTTATGTTTTTCCTATTTAAGCTATGTTGTTAATAGAAAATTATTCTTCCAAATATAGCAAACTTACCTTGTCCTTCCAGTATCCTTTGTTTCTAGTGACACAGGATCTCATTTGTCTATTATGCTTCCTTTTCCTTTTGCTCTCAATTTGTAAACGTGCTGGCTTCAGAACATCCTTTGATAGCATGTGGAAAACTTGTCAAAATTCCAAGGACAGGGGAATTACCAAATTTAAAAATGGTGAAACACAGACTACGTCTTAAAGGATACACAAGAAACTGGTAACTATCAATCTTTGAGAAATGGATGGTTAGAGGACAGTGGGTAGAGGCAAACTTCACTCTATGCATTTGTGCACATGTATGTGCATATGTGTATGTAATCTTTCATGGCTTTTTAATAAAACTATATTCATGTATTTTAAAGAGATGATTGTTAACAATGATGCTTACTAACAAAGACTTCTTAGCTTTTGAACCTTGTGTGTGTAAGGTGATGCTCAGCGCCTTGGTCTCTGGCTGCACCCTAGCTTTGGCCCTCAGAGGAAAAGCTAGCTGATGGGAGGAGAGCTCAGTATTTGACGAGTAAAAAGCACTACCACCTTATTTTGTAAATAGTCCACCATTCCACTTTCTATATAGTCTCAATGTGAGCATTACACAGTAATACTGAGTCAACACCCACAGAGTTCAATTTTGTGACTGCCTCATCTATCTGGAGTAAATCAGTTCCTTATAATAATTGTGTTGACATTGTATTCTGAGAATTCCTTCAGGAATATAGTTCACATTTCCAGTCTTGTTCCTTTTTTTTTTTTTTTGCCATGGGGGAAAAATAGGCATTAATTTAAAAATAATCCTTTTATTTTTATTTAAATTACTATTTCTTGACAGTCAAAATTAAAGCTGTCCACTTTTTTTGTTTTAAACTGGAGTCTTTTATATATGTGCACATATATATAAACATATATATAATTGATTTCAGAGAGGAGAGGAGAGAGAGGTATAGAAACATCAATGATGAGAGAGAATCATTGATTGGCTGCCTCCTGCACACCCCCCCAATGGGGATCGAGCCCACAACTAGGGCATGTGCCCTTAACCTTAATGGAACCCGGGACCTTTCAGTCTGCAGGCTGAGGCTCCAGCCACTGAAACAAACGGGCTAGGGCAAAGCTGTCCACTTTTTAACTTTGTATGGGGACAGTTACTAGATTTTATCATGGTGATTTTATCATGGTAGGTATTGTATATAAATGTTGAGTCACCTGAAACTAATATAAAATTCTCAATTACACATTAATTTAAAAGACAACTTTCAGTTTTAATACTTAGGTGTGACTTCTGATTGTAATCTGCAAGGTTTCAGTCTATGTATTTAGAGTTCTATTTCATTTAAATAACGAATCAGCTACTCTCTTTCCCAGAGACCTATTTTAATTTTAACAAGTGAGGATGCTGCAGTATTTAGGTTTGTTGGTCTGTCACACATTGATTGTAAACAGGTATATTTTTTTCCTTTATGGAAGGATTTTCCAAATGCAACCTATGGGAGAGACAATTGGCTAGCATGGACTAGTTAATAGTGAATATAGGCCAACTGATAAAGCTAACCTAAGAAACATTGCAAATGTGTGGCTCTAGTGGATCAGTTTTTGCTGTCAGATAAAAGAATGAAGTAGTGATAGTGGTGATAAAATGTGCCTCTTTGTGTTCCCTTGGAAGTAACTGGTATTCTCTTGTATCTCTCTACTCAACATAATAAACTTCTTCCTTTAATCTTGGATGATGAATAGCACCTTAATCACAGGTTACACAAATGGGCAGCATTTCTTTATGGTACTTGACTTCAATTCCTTTTCCTTTTGCCACCCTAGGCTTATTGACATTCATGTTCATGATTTTTTTTGGTTTCTTTCAAATGCAAAGAAGGCTGTGGAATGAGACCCTTTGAGATGAACTTAGCCTCATTGCATATCAGAAGAAAAGTATGTTCACCTCTAAGAATTGGGGGCACAGACAATAAAGTGAGTTCCTTAATTTATTTATTAGTATCAGAACAAACTTCCCCATCCAGCTCCTCTCCCAGGTCACAATAATGTGCTCTTTACATCTAAGAGGGCTTCATTTGAACATTCTTTCCTAGTGAAGGGAGATGATTGTTTTTCTCCTTATCCTCCCTCAAATTGGTGTTTCTTTTCACCAATTTTGACTAGTTCAACCTCAGAAATTCTTGTCAGAGGAGTAGGCTGACACCTATCAATGCTACTCTGTATACTTTCCCAGGGATTAAAAGTCACCCCCATCCTCTCTTCCCAACTCCAAGTAACAATAACAGAAAACACCACCCCCCTCTAACCTGGCTTCAAATCCTGTTGATTCTAGCTCATTAAAAAATAAAATAAAAAAAATCTCTCCGCATTGCTGGTGTGGCTCAGTTGGTTTAGTGTCTTCCCATACACCAAAAGGTGGTGGGTTCGATTCCTGTCAGGGCACATACCCGGGTTGCAGGTTCAATCTCTTCCTTTCTCTTTAAAAGTAAATTAAAAACAACAACAAAAAAAACCTCTCTCAAATCTTCCCTCTTGCCCTGCTGGTGTGGCTCCGTGGTTGAGTGTCAACCTATGAACTAGGAGGTCATGGTTTTATTCCTCCTGGTCAGAGCATATGCCTGGGGTCCTGGGCCTGGGATCCCCCATCATGCAGGAGGAAGCCATCTCTGTTCATCATTGATGTTTCTTATCTCTCCCTCTCCCTTCGTCTCTGAAGCACAAAGATTTATTTTTAAAAGAAATGAA